TTGTTGCCATGTAACCTATGTTGAAAACTACAGTAATAAATACAAACCAACTATGGTTGGTTGGTTCAATCAAAATCTTTGGCCAACCTACAACAGCTCTACTAGTACTCGTACTTAATGTGCATATTACACGTATACGTAATTGCATATTGCTTTCTTTGAGCCTCAAATTCAAATAATGTAGACCATGACATGAAAGTTGATTTGCTCTCATGTGCAAACTTATTACATGCATGCATGCATGCATGATCCACAATAATACTATTTAATTTTTTATTCAATGAAATCCATATATATGTTTTTGGACTACAAGTCTACAAATTTATGACAAAAGATCCGAGTGTAATAAAACCCTGGATTCAACATGAAAGACCTTACTCTAACTCCAATTCAATGTATATATACATCTTTGTGATGAATAATAATTGGATCCTATAATCAAATTAAAGGGCAAACAAAAGTAGTACGGAGTATTTGATTATTTCACATGTTTGAAATAAATATATGAAATCTCATGACGAATATATTTTTTGATGATTTTAAGATTGTTTAGTTATGTCGTGTATGTTATCTTTTCATAGTCACCTTAATTGATAGCACTTAAGAAAATTAAAATCATACATGTATAAATTTAATCTTGAAATTTACCGACTGTCATCTTTTACAAGTGAATAAATTGAACAAGGTATATATAACTGGAACCTTAATATTCAATTGCGTTCATATTATAAAATTTCTAGATCCAAATTAAAGCCCCACAAGAGAAATCTAGAAATGGGTAATTAATGGCTCTTGGACAGTTGAGACTACATGCCATCCTATTAATTACATTAGACAATGACACTGCCGTGGTTTCTTTACTTTTGTTCCTATTTCCTATCAGAATTGAATTGCCTTCAACAACATTGCATTTTCTCAAAACAAGAATTTAATCTTTCAAATATGCTATGTACCCTTAAGAGTTAAGTAATTAATTACGGGTAGTTTTCAACTTTATATTAGTAGGTCCAATTGAGGAAGCATTACAAATTAATTAACAATTTAATCAACACTAGTAATGACATTATGCTCATCAAATAACCCCTTGGAAAAGACCATGACATGATTAACAATTGATGCCTTGATGGTTACTTTGATCAAACGCTAGGTTACACTTGTCACTTAACTTGTTTGTTAATTGTATTCAAAAAATTTCAATATGAGTCAAAATTGTTTAGGTTTCTTAATTATTATTCAGAAAAATTATTAAAAATACGGTAATAAAAGAAACAAAAGAGTACAATTTGTCACTAAAGTATTTGACCAAAAATAAGATCATCTAGCTTCTATAGAGAAAATACAAGTTTATCTTAATAAAAGTGTTTATCTAGTGACATTTTCGTAAATTAGTCAACAATTTTTATTAAATGTGGTCCTACAAATGTTGATTAATTTACAAAAATGTCATGCTGACTTGGATATTTTGCCGAGTTTTTTTTTTTTAAAAATTTTTTTTCACCAAAGAAGCGATTTTTGTTTATCATCAAGATAAACTGCGATTCCCTCGTTCCTATATACGAGTATTGGTAGAATGAACTTATCACTAAAATATTATAACAGTACACTAGAAGAGTAGAAGGGTATAGGACTAAATAGAGAGCCTACCTTTCTTCTTTACAAGTTTGTTTTCTCTATTAATTATGTGAAAAGTGTAATATGTTACATTTCTTAATCATAAAGGTATAATCTTCCATATTTTATGGTAACTAATTAAGCAATGTTTAAGAACAAATTAATTCGAAAAAAGAGTCTACGCTACAAATAGAATGGATATCTAAATCAATGTTTCTATTAATAGATAGCTAGCTCCATTGATAAGTTAGTAAATATAGGATGTATCATGAGTCACTTGAACACTAATTTAAAGCGCCATCTGTTTCAAAATTTTAACAATTCAACTCGGTTTTGCGAATTTGTTATATACACCTGGATGCACCATGCATACCCTCTACTAATTCAATGTTAGTTTTTACTCTTCATTTGATGATTAAATGAAAAACAATCATCAAAATGATTACAAAATACTCATAGGTATACCGTACATCCGGGTGTATATAACAATCTCTCGCTGTCTAATGGTATAGTAATTCTTGGGTTGTAAAGTATGGACAAATACAAGTTTATCTGCTAGATAAACAAATTTTTGTTAATCTAGTGGCATTTATGTAAATATATTGAAAAAGCGTGGTTATTTATTCAGTACTTTTAATTTGGTAAGCTGTCCAATTACTGTTTACAACTTGCTTTTACTAGTACATAAAAAGACGCATGTACCCCTCAACTAGTACATAAAAAGACGCATGTACCCCTCCACTGGTACTTGAAAAGACAATTATACCCAAAGATAAACAAATTTTGTTTACATGGAGAATTAACTGGATACAACTGATAAAGTATAGTGATAATAATTGTAAGTTTCAAAGGGTAAAATCCCTCCTTTTCAAATTAAGTAAAACTATACTTAGTATATAATAACTCAATAAGTGCGTGCCAAGCTTAAGCATCATTATCTTAAAATAAATTTATGAAAAGAATAATAATGGAAGTTATAGCAACTAGCTAGCAAGGCTGCCACCAGTTGTTTTAATGAATCAAGAGGGAGAGAAATGGTAATATGGTACTAGCCTTTCTAAGTAACGACTTTTCAGTCTTTTCTGTTTTCAAACTTTTTTGTAACACTTTTACTTTAACTTTATTGGCCTTAATTACAGGCAGATTTTCTTTAATTTAAAGAATATAATAAATCATATGAGAAAGTATTGTATGATCAAGTATAAGTAATTCCTAATTAGACATTTTCTATGAAATACAGTGTACAAGTATATAAGCATCTCGACTTTTGAGATTTAAGTATAATTTTTTTTGATATTTCATGTAGTTTAAGTATAATTTTTTTGGATATTTCATGTAGTTTTGAAAATTTCATAAAAGTAACTAGACATATTAGTTTTAGAATATTAGTTTTAGAATTTTATGTATTGTGTGAGGGGCTCATGGTTGAATGGACGGATGGACTCACCCAATACTTTGTGGTGTTTGTTTTTATTTATGTTGAAAATACGTATACCTCACATAACCAAATCAAGAAAAAAGAGCTATTGAATCCATATATGATTACTCCTTTTGTTTCTTATATATTGTAAACTTTTCTCCTTTCATCTGTTTTTGATTAATTAGTGGTTCGTATACCCGGGTGTACCATGCGCATGGTACACCCCGATTAAAGCATAATGAACATATTATATAATTACAAGAACATTATGAATTTATAAAATAACATATCACTGAAATATAAAGAATACAGTAATTTACGATAAACGGTATTAAAAAATATAAGAGATAATTACTAACTGAGTTTTACCAAAAATTTTATGTCAAATCATTTCAAAATATTCAAATTTCAAGATTTTGTCTATCTAAAATTATTTTTTACCCAAATATAATTCAAAATTTCATTTTTAAATTTCAAAAATTCAAAATTTAAGAACATATTATTCAAGTATAAAGAACATGCTTAATTTATATACCCTAAAGAACATTGAAAAAAATGATAAAATAACATTCATTAGAATATGAAGAACATCATCTTCAACCTTAGAATATACTACCAAAACAGGAAAAATAGATAAAAAAATGAAAAATACCTTCTCTTTAAACAACGAATTCGTTAGTTACATTTTTTTTAATTAAAAGATTCATTGGAATGATAAAATCAACTCTGTAATAACATTAAATCACTTCAAAATCCAAAATTTATCATGGTTTCTCTCTATATAAAAACTCAAATTTTCTTTACTTGAAAAAAAAAAATCAATTACTCTCTAATAACAAAAATATGAAATTCTATTTACCAAAAGTAATATAGTATGTAAATATAAATCAATTTCATAAATCCAGGAAAATAAAAAAACAAATCAATCCCTTAAGTCAAGGAGAGAATTGTTTTGATTTTTTCACTCGTGTACTTTGTATTTGCACTACACGATGTTCTTTCCACGTTTTCACAACGTAATCTTGTATTTTAAGAAGATGTACCATGAGCATGGTACACCCGGGTGTATGATGAAAATTTCAGTTTTTAATTAATTCCAATCTTTTACTTACTCCTTTTTTACTATGCTATATTATTTCCCTCTCTCACTAATAATTATCTATACCTCAATCGTCTATATTTTAAACTATAAACTCCTCACTTTGATCCCTATCTTATATTTTTTCTTAGACTAGCTTTGATGTTACAATTTATAAAAAGCGAGCGAAGAAATACTCGCTAATCCATATTATTAGTCTTGTCTTAAATTTAGGACTGCCTACCTGCTTACTAATTTCGTATGGAGATCGACCTAATACATGTTCTCAAGACCCTTTACCAAATTATGTTAGTACATACCCAACATAATTTATAAAGAATACTTTAAATGTGTATTATTACACTTTAAATATAGTAAAGTACTTAACTCCAAGACTATAGATCGACTTATAGAGTATCTTTAAAGACAATTATTTATTAATCTAGTCGTACTTAAAAAGATATTTGAAGTTTATGATAGTTAAAATAAAAAAAAAAATTATTTTAATCTCCAAGATCATCATATCAGCTCTCAACTCCCATACCATGATACCAAAAATTGCTAAAGTAGAAATTAGAAACATAGAAGCTCAACAAGTAGTACGGAGTATTATTTTCTAAAAATTGGTAAATCGCGAGAATTGGAAAAAATATCAAGGTGGTAGTAAGACTAGTAACGTAGATGATCATTATGTATGTTTTAACGGTAAATGTAAGAAAAGTACACTTGGCCATCCAATAACCAATCAATCAAGCAGAAATACAAGCATTCAATAATCAATTAACCAACTACCAACTTGTCCATTTACAATAATTTTCAACCAATAATAAGACTAAGTTTTTTTTTAGTTCACACTCCCTAGAAATTCTCTATAAATAGACCACTCAAATAAGCTTCTAAAACCATCTAGCAAAAGTGCAAAACAAAGGAAAGAAAAAAACCAACCCCTCAATACTCTTGCATTCTGTTAACCAAATTAACAAATTACGTAAAACTATATTATGGCTAACTCAACTGTTGTCAAGCTAGCTTGTGCACTTGTAATGTGCATTGTAGTGGCCGCACCACTAGCCGAGGCAGCCGTTACATGCGGCTTGGTTTCTAGCAAAGTTGCCCCGTGCATTCCCTACCTAAAGGGAGGCGCTGCCCCAACGTCGGGTTGTTGCGGTGGGATTAAGGCTCTCAACGCAGCAGCTGCCACTGCTGCTGACAAGAAAGTTGCATGTGGTTGCCTGAAAAATGCTGCTGCTGCCATTTCCGGTATCGACTATTCCAAGGCCGCTGGTCTCCCTGGCAAATGTGGTGTTAGCATTCCTTACGCCATTAGCCCCAGCACCAACTGCAATGCGTATGCCTCAATTCTCTCTCTATTATAGTATTTAACTAACCAATCAGATGCCTGATCACTACTAAAAAAAAAAATAAAAAAATCTATTATCTCCGTTAATTCTTAGTTGCAACAAAGAAATATTTTATGTCTCACAAATAATACCTTTTTGTTTCAACTAAAAGTTAACGGAGCTAGTACAATTTATTTTAAAGGTCCATTATTTATTCTAGATTTCTATTGATGATCTTTTTAATACAGTAATCTAATGTGTTTGTTTGAATTTGATTTGTTTTGCAGCATCCACTAAACGGCTAATGTTATAGCAAAACTAAAAGAGTAAAAGAAGGGAGCTACCTAGAAGTGGCCTAAGTAGTATAATAATAAAAAAAGAGTCGATATTGGCGTCGATCTTTGGCGAGTCATATCACGTAGATTGTTTAATTTTTCTGTATTGTTTTGCATGGTACTGTACTTTTAAATTTGTGCCTTTGTTTTCTTTTATGAAAATTCTACTATTTCTACGATCAAATTTCGATTGTGAAATTAAAGATGGTTGTACTTTTTATATTTGAATTGAATGGCTCCATTTCTTACAAGTTACAACATTTGTCACAATCTCATTGCAATATAAATGCAATGTTCTTATTTTTTGTACTGTCTACTTCAACATAATTATAGTCATGAAAATGGTTATGCCTATTAATGGCAATTAAAAGTTGACAATTTAAAATAATCAAATGAATAATTATAAATTTATAAGCTCGAAATGGCCAATATTGACATTAAAATTTGAAGGGAGCTATGAGTACATTAAATTACTTTGAGGAATGTAACACAACATAAGAGAGAATATTGAGTGATGAGGTATGAGGTCATGTATCCAAAATAAACATTTTACTTTGCTAGGGGAGTAATATATTCGTACTATAACACACGTCTTTAACACTATCTTCATTCACTCAATTCAAACATGAACTCGATATTGATTTGTACCATTTTACAGATGTATTGACGTAATGTAATTAAACATTTCGATTTAGCACGATCCCTTCCAAAAGAACACAACCTCCATCATTTAATGGCCTGCTAAGAGTCTAAGACCATGACTTTTGGTTATTGATTGGTTTATGTAATCTTGCAATAATCTCACCTTTAACAAAAACGTTAATAATAATAATATTAATAACTTTATAATCCTACCATGCCTTGAAATTAAATAATATGACTTGCGTTCGATATGATGGCATTTGATAATAATGTGATAGTGAGTATATGTGAATGTCTAAGCGATCAATTAAACAGACATTACCTACAAAATCAAAACTTTCACATGTACTCCATCACTAGCTAGCCATTATGGGTATTAATAACCAGTCCACTCTCCGATCCAAAATTTAAACCCAATGAAAACCTATCCTAGATTGGATTGATATTTAAATTTAGGGCTTTTGTCAAAAACTACCTAATATAACCCAGATTTTGCGAGAAACTACCTAATAAAAAAAATGTTGTAATAAACTACCTAATAAAGGTAAAATGTTGTAAAAAAAAACTACATAAGAAAAGGTAAAATGTTGTAAAATACTACACATATCGGATTTCCACTGCTGATCGATTTCAAAACACTCCCGAAAGCACCGCTTTAATTCCCAAAACTAACACACCTTGCTTGAATCCGCCTCCACCACATATAAACCACCTTTCAACCCCAAAACCACCATTTCTAAGCCCAAAAACCACCATCTTGAAGCACTAATAAACCCTCACCAACTCGGAATATCCTCCAACCACCTCGAAATAACTTTACCACCTTGAAAACCAACCCTCACGTTGGTTTCGAGGGTGTTTTATGATGGATCAACATTGTGAAACAAGACAACGGTGGAAATTCAGTCAAAGATAGTATCATACAACATTTTATCTTTTAGTATGTAGTTTCTTACAACATTTTTTTATTAGGTAATTTCTCACAAAATTTAGGCTTTACTAGGTAGCTTCTCACAAAAGTCCTTAAATTTATGTATAAAAACCTATAATTAATTCATTTCTTCCTTCAACATGTTGGAATATATTTATATTATATGAGATATTTTATGATAAAATGCAAAAGGGCAGTAAACATAATACTTTTTTCTTATATTTTTTTTCCATGTATTGTTATAATAAAAGGACCGATTAAAATGTTTTTCAAAAAAACAAAAGGACTAGTTAAAATGATAGGGGAAAAAAAAAGTCTAGAATTGGTCCAAAAATGTTCACCCCTTGCATAGTCGGTCCAATGTTTGGATCTTGAATTAATTTTTTTTGTATTCAATTTGATTTGAGTTGAGGTGTCAATTCAATGTTTTTTGGATTTTGGCCAAATCCAATCTGAAATAAAATTTAGTTTAAATGGTTAACCCAATTTGATCTATCAAAAGTTTCCTATTACAGCTTATCCAAACGAATGTAATAAAATTCCACATAACTATACTTTATGTTAAAATAATTAATCGAAAATGGCTATCACTTCAATGCCGTCCAAACAAATAAAATCAGATTGAACATGGCTGGTAGTAGAACTAGAGTATGGGTCGTCTATAGACTCGCACCGTAACACTAATTGCATACGACGCCGACACTCGTATTATTTCTGTCTATTTTGGCACATTGGCGATTATATTAATGCCCTTCAAACACAAGGACAAAACTGCCACGGAAACAATTATAAAAATCAACTACATATCAACAATAATGAGTTTTCTTATCTCTTAAAAATTACGATGTTCCATAATTTCAAATACACCGTATCCTCTCTATGCCTAAATTTATTACTTTCTCCGTTTTTTTATAATCACACCGACATGACTATAATCTTTTTTTGCATGTCGGTATAAAACTTGATTAATTTGATTTTATTTGAGTTCTTTACCATCTTTCTAAAATTATACCTCTTTTCCTTTTGCTATTAGTTCTGGTTTCGAGCAATAAGTTTGATCATTAGTAACTACTTAAAACGTCTAAAACAAACAAAAATAAAATAAATTTGATAATACTTCGTAATAATTATAATAGTTTAATATTGTTCATTTGTTTGATCAACAAATTTCTTAACCGTAAGTCACTAACAAGCTGGATCTAGCTAATTAAGTAAGCTAAATAACTAGCAAAGAAATTATATATCAGATGTTCTTTTGCGTACGAATTTAACAATAATCTCGTATCACTAAAACATTAGATATATTGTATCATAATAGGTAAATTCAACTAAATCTTTGGAAACACTTAATTAATGAAACATCTTTTATTAACTTGATTATGCAAATTTACATCAAAAGCGTTAGGACTTGGTAGCAGCCCATAGTACCATGACTTATCGACTAAATGTACTACACCAATGAGCAAGGCAATAGGGCATCCAATTAGCCAATCAAGAAGCAAATGTATTTGTATTTAATAATATTATGGGCCAATGTTCATCTACCAACAACCTACTTGCCCAATTGATTTAAGCATCAACCACAATTTCATGTCCCATATTTAGTTCACACTTCCAAAACATCTTCTATAAATAGACAACTTTAGTAAACTATCTTATTCATCAAACAAAAGCAAAACCAAAACCAAAGACAAAGTCAATACTTCTTAATACCTATTTTCCAAACAACAAGAAACTTAGTAAGCAAGTATGGCAAGCTCAGCTATTGTCAAGTTAGCTTGTGCACTTGTGATGTGCATTGTGGTGGCTGCACCACTCGCCGAGGCTGCAATAACTTGCGGCATGGTTTCCGGCAAAGTTGCCCCGTGCATTTCCTACTTGAAGGGAGGCCCCGGTCCATCCGGCCCTTGCTGTGCTGGAATTAAATCTCTCAACCAAGCAGCTGCCTCCGGTGCTGACAAGAAAGCAGCATGCATTTGCCTGAAAAACGCTGCTCATGCCATTCCCGGTATTAACTACGGAAAGGCCAACGGTCTCCCTGGCATGTGTGGTGTTAGGATTCCCTACTCCATCAGCCCCAACACCAACTGTAACGCGTATGTTATTCTCCCTCGTTCTTTTGCCTGTGTTTATTTTCTTAACGTACTCCATTTATTCCTTAAAGATTGTCTTATTTCTTTTAACAGTCTTTCTTTAAAACAATTCTATCTACCCACACAATATAAATAAATCTTTATATATAAAGTGAAGAAATTAGACAAGGCAAACTTTAATGCACCATTCTAATATATACTTTTATAGCATATAAAAATTAGTTACAATTAGTTAGTTAACAATCATCACAACATCGCTATTTGCCCATATTTAGCATATGCACGATATTTAAAACAATGTAACAAACTACGTATTGATGCATTTTAGTAAGTTAAATATACGAGTACTAATCATATATGTTGATTATGAACTTAACATATTTGTTTGAATTGGTTTATTTCGCAGCATCCACTAAACAGCAAACGTAGTAGCAGATCAGAAAGATGGAGCTACATAGGAGTGGCCCAACAACGAACTCATCTAGTCGAGTGTATAATAAAAATTGAGTCCTAATACGAGCCGGTCTACGGCGAGTAATCTGTATTTCTTGTTTGATGCATTGTCACTTTTGTATTACCTTACCTTCCTGGTTATAAAATCACTAGTTAACTACTACCACTTATGTAGTATTTACTATATTATGTGCCTCTTCATAGCTCTATTTTCGCTTTGTGTTAAAGAGTAACCGCGTTATTTCATAAATTATAAATATTGAATAAATCACTAAGCAACATAAGCATCTAATGTGGTAAAAGGGGTTCAATCCCAACAAGAAGCACTACTTTGAGTGTAAGTACTTCCCTTATCCTCCCCTCCACTTGATCTCAAAGTGCTTAACCTGTAAACTCGACAGGATTGACCTGTAAAAGATTTTGATCCGACAAAACGGTTCATCTAACCTAGTTAAAAAGGATGTAGTATAAGGACATGTACTGCATGCATTCGGCTAAGAACGAGCTTCATTCAAATTTATGACCAAATAATCTTGTCTATCAACTATATTGGCTATACAGCCGCCTTTCTATTAAATATGATGAGATCTAAGAATAACTTCGATTTAATCCATCCAATCCCCTCAATCCTTCATAAATGTAATCTACTCTTTATTGGACTATAAATCATAATCCTCGAGCTATATATTTGTGCTTATTAAGATAAAGATCGTACAAAGGTACGGCACTCTACAACTTTCTTAAAAATTAGCATTAGTATACGTTGATCGGATTTTATAAGTACTAATCTTATTATCTTAATCAGTAAACTTCAATTTCTATCCACAAAAATAATTTTTTACTTAATATGATTGAATTGCTGCATTGCATGCATATGAAAAATATAACACTATTTTTCAGTAACAGTAAATTACTTTGAC